AGTCTGTCATACATTGTTGTAATGTATGACAGACTCAATGTAATATTGAGTTAGCTGGTTTGTTGGTTGGTCAACTCTGTAGGTTTAGTTTGGTTGGTTGGGGGCCAGCCCCGGCCCTGCAGCTCACGGCCCTGCATGTTGAGGTGTTTCCCTTCTGCTACACACCTGGATTGAATCTGTGGGTGATTAACAGGCTTCTGCAGTACTTGATGGGCATGCAATCGTCTGAATCAGCTGTTCTGGAATAGAGGCACATCTAAAACATGCAGAGCGGGGGGGGAGGACTGGAATTGAGAAGCACTGGACCAGGTTGAAACACTTCCTACAGACAAACTGCATCAGCAGGTTCCCTTCCTCCTAGAGGTCATACAACTGGGGTCAGCCATGAGTGATCAAATAGTCCGACTGCCCTCCAGTTTACTGAGCAGGATCTGGACCTGGCAGTCCTCACCCTGCAGGGACAGGATGTCCCCTGGTCCCGACCCGTTGGTCAGACAAACCTAGTGAAGAACCAACATGTCCCACCTCCAGCGCATAGCAGGCTGGCTTGTCCCTCCCCAGCTTGTAGGCGACTGTGGTGATCAGGCCGTGTTCGGACGTCACCGGCTGCCAGAATCACCAGAAGACAATGAACTCAGTTTGGATCGTAGGAAATGGTTCTGACGGTTCTGAAGGTTCTGAAGCGTCTTACCTTGGTTCCTGTGTTCCTGAGCAGGAAGCATCCCGTCCCGTACGTGTTTTTGGCCTGACCCTCCTCAAAGCACATCTGACCGACCAGGGCTGCTGACTGGTCCCCGAGACACTGGCAGAGATAACGACACCGTCAGGTTCTGGAGGAACCGGTCCAAGATGGAGGACCGGCAGAACCTTGACTGGACTCCTGACAGTACACCAGAAGCCCCTTACCCCCGAGATGGGAACCCCTGCCAGCGAGCCAGACCTCTGGAGAAACAGGAAGAAGGTTCAGTTGGACGCCATCATCAACATCGACTGAAACGCATCGCTGTGCAAAAGTCTTAGGTCGTCTTTAAACAATTCTTTGGACTTTGGCTGCAGTCCAGTTCTGGGCATTTCAAAAGGAAATGGTTTTGGTTTTTAGAGATTAAAACAAAATCTCACCGAAGTGGATCATAAACTAGGACGGGTTGTTCTGTAGAACCTGGACAAAGGTCCAATAAAGCAAAGCAGTCATGCATTCCTCTGATCTTTGGTTAATATCTTTACCCAACGATCGTTACACTTTGGTCTCACTGCAGAGACCAAAGTGCAACGATCTGACGCTGTTATCAGATCAGATTTACAGAGAAGTTCAATAAAACGTCCCACAGCAGAATGAGAACCTCTGAGCAGAACCGGGTCATCTGGTACCAAGCCCACATGTTGCTCAGTTCTGGAAAATAAAACCTGCGACTGTTAAGAGGATCAAAACGTCAAAAAGAAGCTAAAACCAGTAAAAATGTTCTGGACCAAAGCAGTGGGGCGTGCAGCTGACCTCTGGACTGCAGATCGGGTCGGGTTTGGTCCGGAAGATAAGACATGAGACAAACACCGACAGGACATTCAGTTGGACCTGAACAAACAGCGTGCAGCAACCGGGTTCTGTTCAGAACGGGACCGGTTCTGATCTGGAGCGACATGCAGCTTCTAACAGAACCTGTCAGGCTGGTAAACGCTCCGGTTTCAACAGGTCGTCATGGCAACTCAAACCCGGCTGAATAAATGTGACGGTTTCGTACTCATGACTGTTGGATTGCTCAACGGTAGCAACGCGTTGCCGCTGCGGGTCAGAGTGAAGACGGTCCATCGGGACGGAAACACCGCCATCAGTCCTGATGAGCGCAAACAGGAAATGCCTCGTATTCACTGAGCGGCCATGTTTTAACGGCACAGGCGTTTCCTGTTCGCTGTCATGACATGATGGAGTTTGGATGTTCACTGAATCAAACTGGAAACCAGAGGCCTGGACTGGTGAAGCACCAGTAACACCACTGGACTTCCTGGAGTTGCTGGAAGGAGGCGGAGCCTCAGTGCAACGCTTTAGATGTGATTCCATGTTTTATTGACTAAAATGCAGAAAAGAATCATTTCTGCTGCACTTCATTCAGTTTAATACTTTCAAACCTGGAAAACTCCGGGTTTCAGTTCCGACCCAACAGAACTTCCAGTTATTCTGACTGACGCTTTCTGAACGGTTTCAGTTCTAAGTTAGCGGTTCTGACCCGGTTCCATTAGAACCTCTTCATTCATAAAGAACTTATTTTAAGCAGAACGTTGTGATTATTAGTCAGTGGGCACATAAAGTACCATGGTTCTAGAGTGGCCTAGTTAAAGTCCAGACTTCAGGAAAAAAGTACAAGCACCAAAAATGTGTAACGGTGTAAATACTTTCAATAAGTCAGAGGTTCCCAAACTGTGGGGCGCGCCCCCTAGGGGGGGTGCCGTGGCATTGCAGGGGAGGCGCGGGAAGCCGTCTGGATGAAAAAAAAAACAAACACTGTATGCGCTGGGTTTTTACCTTAGAATGGCCAACTCTCTGTTATTCCTATGTCACTTTGATACAGTAGATGCTTCCACACTTCCCATATTTGTGTCCTCTGTCACTTTTATCAGCAGTTTAATCCGTTGTTTAATCCGTTGTTAACATGTTGTAACCTGTTTTTCCGAGCCGCCTTTAAACGCAACATGAGCGCTACGACGCTCGCGCTGGGTTTCCACCTGTGAAGGAGACCTGCTGCTGCTGGGCGGAGCTACGTAGGTTTGTGTTAGAATCACGGCAGCAAACCAGTAAAGAACTTTTCACAGTTTTTCCCTCCAAACTAACCGACTGAGTTGAATAAAGCTGTTGGATGCAGGTAATGTTATCTAAAAGATGACTAGCTAATATCAATACAGAACCTTAAGCTTAACAAATTCCTTGTAGGCTACCGATGTTGGTGTCTATTTTCAGCTACGTACATTCATTTTGCCCCCAAAAAAGTCGCTGCCCCCCTCCCCCCCTCCATAGGGGGGGGCACAGAAGAAAAAGTTTGGGAACCACTGCAATAAGTAATGGGTCAGAACCAGAATATAGATGTTAGAACAGAAAATCATGAAAATCTGAGAAGCACTTTTAGTTTCAGATTGTTTCTTATTATTGTGATTAATTATCATTGTTGTGATTAATTATCATTGTTGTGATTAATTATCATTGTTGTGATTAATGATGGTTGTCGTGGCGTTCAGGGCTCACCATGCGGCCATAGATCTCAGAGGAACTTCTGACGGTGGGCAGGATTTCCATCGGGATGTCAAAGAAACTGGAAACACAACCGAGTCCATCAAACTGGAGCTTTAAATGACTGGACAACTGGTCAGACCCGGCCAGAACCGGTCGGAAATTAATGGTAGCCTGAATGAGAAGTGATCCAAGCTTCAACTTAAGAAGAATAAATTCAGTTTCCAAAGACTTGTGGGAAAATATTCCCAGCACCTGAAGCACCAAAACATTCCTGGGAAATTGATAAGCTCTCGATCTGAGTCCAGACCCAGACAGGACAGCTTGAGATCCGGTTCCTGAGAGCCGGCTTCTCCGGCCAGTGAGACGGGCTGGTCCAGGTTACCTGCAGAGCTCGGGGTCCCAGTCCAGGCTGTGAATGTTGAACAGCAAGGTGCGGCTGGCGTTGGACACGTCCGTGACGTGGACTCCTCCGTCTCGGCCACCCGTCAGACTCTGGAGGAGAGAGAAAGCTCTTTAACTGGCAGGAACAAAAACCTGGAGCTGGAACCGGCGGCCTGCTGCTCCTACCCAGATGATCCAGGAGTCCACGGTCCCAAACATGGCCCTCTTACTCAGAACCGCCTGCTGCACCGCCTCCACATTGTCCAGCAACCAACGGAGTTTCACAGCACTGAAGTAAGTGCTGATGGGCAGACCGGTCTTATGCTGCCGGGCGAGTCCAGTAGAACCCACAGGAGAACCAACAACAAGTTGACCTCAGTGGCTCCCTGACCTCTCGAGATTTAGGGTTATCAGTCCTACCTTCAGGTGGTTCTTGCTCCTGCTGGGAGTTTTGGTGATGAGTCTCTCCACAGTGGACTGCGTCCTCAGGTCCAGCCAGACTGCAGAACAGTGCAGAGCACAGAGATTAGCACGTCCACATGATCAGAGTCCAGCTGCTTCTGAGAGGAGGTCAGCTAACCGTCTGTCACTTGGAAAAGTCTGGAGGCCTTTGCAGGAGAGGAGTCCAATTTGGTACAGTATAACGAGTCCAGTTCGATCTATTGAAGAGTTCAGTTATGGTAAAAACTGATGGACTCCATCAGTCAACTGAACCAAACCTACTGGAACCTCCATGTTTTCCTTGCAGTTCTTGTTCTTTTGTTCTTGTGAAGGCTTTGAATTAAACCTATGTTCATCTTAATCCAGGGTCAGGTCGAGGGAGGCCCAGATTTCCCTTCAGCCTCCTGGTCCAGCTACACCAGGAGAATCCCACGGCGTTCCCAGAGGAAGATTGACTCTCGATGCAGAGAAAACTCATTCCGTTTGCTTGAATCCATGACCTCGTTCTTTCAGCCTCTACCCAAAGCTCATGACCATAGGTCCGACGCAGCTCTCTCTTCACCATGACAAATACGTACAGCGCCCGCTTCACTGCAGACTCCACCAATCCGCCTTCATGAGTTCAGAGATACTTAAACTCCTCCATCCTCAGGCCACCAAAACAGATCCCCTCAACACATTGGCTGGTCTACAAACACCATGAACAGAATCGGTGACAAAGGGCAGCCTGGACAGAGTCCAGCTCTCACCGGAGCCCAACTTACTGCCGGTAATGAGGACCAAGCTCTGGTAGCGGTCACACAGGGACCAGCAGCCCATATCAAAAGATCTGGTACCCCTGCAAGACTTCCTGAGGAACATAGTCCAACGCCTTCCCCAGGTCTACAAAATGGACATGTAGACTGGTTGGGGGAACTCCCAGAACTCTCCAGGACTCTGCTGAGGGTGTAGAGTTGGTCCAGTGTTCCATGACCAGGATGAAAACCTGGTTTAGTAACCTAATGAACCTAAGAAATAAACCTAACCTAGATGAACCCAACCTAAGCTGGCTGCAGAGCTGCTGACTACCTCCATTGCTGATCCGGTCCAGGAGAAGCTTCCTTCCAAGCCTCTGCAGGTTTTACTGGAACCAATCCTTACTGGTTTCATGTGGCTGGACTCACCGATGGCGTTGTAGAGCGGTTCTCCGGTCTCCTTGTCCCAGACCAGGGTGGTTTCTCTCTGGTTGGTCACCCCCACCGCTGCAGAGCAACAACAACAATGTGAAGGTGGATGGATGAAGCTGCAGAAACAGAACCGCACCAGCGGCAGCGTCCAAACCTTTGATGCGGGACACGTCCACACTGAGCTGCGCCAGCTTCTGGCAGGTCTTCTCCAGACACTCGTGGACGGTGTCCATGATCTCCCTGGGGTCCGCCTCCACCCACCTGAGGAGATGATTGGTCCACACATGTTCGACATGTCTTTGCACTAAGTCCAGGTTCTGCCTCCTAACAGATGACTGAATGGAACTGGCTGAGGCCTAGTCCAAACATAGCTGATATCTGGGAAAACCGACACATTTTTATGTGCTTTGGCCTTTCATATACACAAAAACATCTAATATCACTAAAAACGATTATTTATAAAAACTATGACCAAAGGGGAGATGTGAGAAACCTCTGTATTTGTGTCTGTTGAGTGAAATAATGCACCAATATTTCCAGTTACATCATCTTGAGCCTATTTTCAAATATGTTGAAAGTAGTTCAACCTACAGATGAAGGATTCTGATTGGCTGACAGGTTTTACCTTAGCTCTATACTGCCCCCTCTGGGTTAGAATGCTAACGCTCAGCCTCAGACGCAGATTTATTTGAGTTCATGTGGATGAAAACTTTTGTGAAAGCCATCCCGTGTGTGCGATGTCCAAAGTCTCACCCTTCTTTGGGGAAATGCTGCTTGAGCTCCACCTGGTGGTGGCTGATCAGCTGGGCTGTTTTAGTGTTGAACACCTGCAGAGAAAAGCAGCCAATCAGAGAGCAGGACTGAAGGGACGTCTATTGTTATAGTAACGGGTTCAGCTCGGCCTCTGACATGGTGAGGGGAGACACCCATCACGGGGGCATTCTGGGCTGTTGTGGAGGCAGAATGGTTCCTCTGCTCAGTGATGTAAACCAGAGAAGGAGAGGAGCCTCCATCTTGTTAACAGTCAGCATTTCCTTTGGCTAAGAGGACAAACGTGCAGGCAGAGAGGCGGGCAGCTCAGCTGCAGAAGGACCTCACACCAACGAAACCTGAACCTTTAGGTGATCCAGCAGGAACCAAGCGTCTTTGTAAGCGAGGCAGAAACCCATCTGACTCCAACAGGAAGTGGGCCGCTTCAGGCTGGAGGAAGCTTGAGCGGTGAGATCACAGAGCTAACACCGAAACCCTCCGCTTCACCAGCCGGACCTCGGGTGAACACATTGGTCCATGATGTCACCCGCACACCTCGCCGCTGTCTCACTGTGCAAATGAGGAGGGTGGGGCCTTCTAGTGGCCTTTATTTGAAAGTAGTTTGACAGAAAAGAGGGTAATGAGAGAGGGGGAAGACATGCAGCAAATGTCACGAGGCCGGGAATCGAACCTGTGACCACCGGCATGAGGACCCAGGCCTCAATACATGGGTTGGTTGTGCGTTGCCCCTGTGCCACCACAGCACCCAGGAGGGTGGGGCCTTAAGCTGTCTGCCTCATTACACAAGTATCTTTATGTGAATTTTAACCAAAATAATTATAATAATTGTATGTATTTATGATATTTTTAATCAACACATATGTTTGGAGCCACCTAGTGGTGTGATGAGGTCCTTCAGGCTCCCCCTCCAGATTGCTGCCGCTGGTGGAGGTGGGTACGAGAGAGGCAGCTCTTCACTTCTTTTTTACTTAGGGTCATATTTTTCTAGTTCAACAATTAACAAAGTACTGTAAGAATGTTTCACATCTACAAATATAATTTGTAAAGTTTTTCTCGTGGTTGGGCTGGAAAGATGTGACCCAATGAGTGGGAGCTGGTGTTGGTGGCTGACCACTCGGTCACGGCGCTGCGTCTCTTTTTTCAGCCTGTCGGACCACTCGGCTGCAGTCAGTCACACTGTGAGGAGTTTTTATTCTGTGTTGTACTAGGTGACCGACAACCAGACAAGAAGAGCAGGTAACAGGCCTCAGTGATTAGCTTTCTATCCAGCTTGGGGGCCGG